AAGGCACTTGACTGCTAACCAGAAAGCTGGTGGTTCAAACCCACCAGCCACTCCTCAGAAGGAAGATTGGGTGATCTACTCCCATAGTGATACCACCTCGGAAACCCAAGGAAGGGTCGCTATGAATCGGATCCGACTCAACAGCAGTGAGTTTGGTTTTGGATTCCTAAAGTATTTGAGGAACAAATCTAGTTCTCATCTCTTACAATATGCAACTCTGCAGGACTTCCCAAGGTTGGACACAGTCTTAGAGACATAGGAATCCTCTAGTGCTGCATTATCATTTAAAAAAATAATATACTACATAATCTCTTTGAAACACCATGATATAAGCCTTGATAACAACTGGAGTAAGAAAAAGGGAATCAAGTCAATAAATATTGGTGGTGTGTGCCAACACACAAAAATGACCAATGTTCAGAGGTCATCTTTGGTTTATTTATTTAACACTTAAGTCACTTAACTTGTCTAGACCTCAGTTTCCTCTTCTGAGCAATGAAGGGCCCAGAGTAGATGATTCCTTAGTGCTCCAAAGGTTTGGGACTCTGCCAATGAGGTATGAAGCTGTCAGTCTATTTAACATATTGTTGTTAAATATATTAGGATGCCTGGATAATAGCTGAGAAAGGAAAGTGGCAAGGACAGAGCAGGAGTTCTCTGTCAGCCACTGACCCAAATACAACTAACTAGCTGAGCATGGCTGTGTTCCTTCTACTACTAGAGTCTATGCTCAAGTTTGGGTTTACAAAAAGTATGATTTTATTTGAGTGACACTGGAAAGAACTGTTTTGGCCCTTCTACTCATGGTCAAAAACCATTGGTGAATCAATGCATTGAGATTTGTTCCATGGAAAAATGTGGAGAGTCTTTAGGTCAGAGAGCCCCATAGGGCAGCAGGGATTTGTAGTCTTTCTAACTACTGGGTTTATCTTATCTAGGGTTAACACATGCTGGGTATAGTTTTATGGAGCATAAGAAGCAGACAGATTCTAAATAGCTAAACATTTGCTTATGTGGGCTATTTTAAAAGCAATTGAATGTGAAAAAAATTGAGTTAGGCACTGGCAGGCTTTTGGGCTAATGGCACTCACCCTGCTGTGAAGAAATAAACAACTTGGGGACCAACACTCAGAGGCCATCTTTGGTTCATTTATATAAATAACACTTAAGTCACTTCATTTGTCTGGGCCTTGGTTTCCTCCTCTGAGCAATGAATGGCTCAGAGTAGATGAATCCTCAGGCCTCTAAAGGTTTGGGAATCTGTCAATGAGATGTGAGTCTGTCAGTCACTTTAACATATTGTTGTTTTGTTAGCTGCTGCCCAGCTGGCCCTTGATTCATGGCGATCCTATGTACAACAGAACAAAACACTGCCAGTTCTGAGCCATCTCTATGATTGGTTAAGGATCATACTGTTGTAATCTATAGGGTTTTCAGAAATCAGTTGCCAGCCCTTTCCTCCCAGTCTAGAAACTCTGCTGAAGCCTGTTTAGCCTCATAGCAATGCACAAGCCTCCACTGACACACAAGGGGTGGCTGTGCATGAGGTGCATTGGCCAGGAATAGAATCCAGGTCTTCCTCATGGAATGCAAGCATTCTACCACTGAACCACGAATGCCTCCTCATTTTAACATTAATAGTTAATTTATTGAGCTCTTTTCTTACCTGGTGTTTATTTATTTATTTATTTATTTTAAGATCTTGTTTCACATTCAACGTAATGCGTACATTTAGTTTCATTCCCCATTTGCCACATCCAACCCTAACCCAGTCTCCTCCCCTCCCTACCCTGTAACCCTCCCCCTGTGCCCCTCATATTTATGTACTCTTATTTGTCCTGCATTTCCTCTGTTTGAATGTTGGTCCTCTGGTACCCCATGGTCTATTGCTCTAAGAGATGTGTTACCATAGAGTATGTGGGTGCATCATCCTGGGTTGAGTGATCTGTATGTACATCTTGTTAACTATTGGGCTGAGAGCCTGCCCTGGGGGATGTGTTTTATTCCAGGTGCAGAATGTATTCTAGGGCCATGGTATTGGGAGTCTCACCAGATTTCATCTGACCAGTAATTCTGGTCTTTATTGAGTTTTTGGATTACGTTCCACGTTTTTCCTCCCACTCTATCCAGGATCTCCAGACTTGGTCCTTTCCTGAGTGTAAGGAAGGCTACAGAATTTGGTGTAGCTATGCACCTAGAGGGAACTCTGGTGGCATAATGCCTAAGTCATGTGACTGCTAACCAGAAGGCTGGTGGTTCAAATGCACCAGCCACTCCTCGGAAGGATGCACCTAGAAGGAAGAGGGGAAAATTTTGATGAGGAGCAATAATTTTCTGGGTACCTGCCCCATAAGAAGTATTTAATAAATTCTTGTTGTTATTGTTAGGTGCTGTTGAGTCAATCCTGGCTCACAGCAACCTTATGTACAACAGAACGAAATACCGCCTCGTCTCGCACCCTCCTCACAATCCTTGTTATGCTTGAGTCCATTGTTGCAGCCACTGTCAATCCATCTCGCTGAGGCTTTTCCCCTTTTTCTCTGATTCTTCACTGATAAATTCTTAGTGACCAACAAACTGGTTTCAGAGGAGAGAAAGCTAGGCAAGGCCACCAGCTCAGGCCCTGGAATGCATTGGGGGTGGACAAGAAGAGAAGAGGTGACAAGGATGAGGAGGACTGAGTGAAATGGGCCCAGAACCAGGATCTCTGTACTTCTCTACTGTCCTCTTTGAATTACAATCATTTTAAATAAAAAAGGCTCTTGGGTTGGTTTCAATGTGTATGTATGCCCATGCTTTAGTTTAGCGCTTTGGTCTTTGCACAGTGTGAAAGGCTCATTAGATATTGTCTAAGTCTAGCTTTCCAAGGCCTTTAATTCAGAAATCTCTTTCCAGGCGAATGTCCAGGTGGATTCTGAGGTGGTCCAGCAGGGATGCAAATTCACTGGTGGAATCCAAACTCTGAACCAACAAGTATAGCTTACTACCTGCTGAGGCAAAAATGAAAGGAAGATTATGTGGATTAATGAATTTATACTTATAAAGCAGTTTGTGCGCAGCCAAGAAGAGTAGTGTTTACGAAATTAATAAAGTTGACCTTTTCTTTTCTTTATTGGCAAGATGTTGCAATATACTATGAGAACCTATTTCCAATTTTCTGAGTTTGAATGTGGTTGCAGGCAAGGAATGACGAAGACGGTGGTGCTTTACACATGAGGAAACCGGGGACATATGAGTTCTCAGGCACAGACTTGCTGAAGATCTCATACAATGGAAATGCCTCCCACCCATAATGCAGGCATTCCAACTGAGCCTGGTAAATCCAGCCAGCTGTATTTTGGTTGTGCTGTGGGATAAATGTTTCCTAGAAACAAAAAAGATATTATATATGCATATTTTTTCCCTCCCTCCTGTCAATCATAGAGTAATTCTCTTCCTCAGGAAACTTTCTATTGAGTGCCTTCTCTGCACTGTGACCTGAGAGAAGATTTGTGGATGGCAGAAAATAGAGCTGAAAGAAGTGACAAGATTTTCTCATCAGTTGAACCAAGATGAAATGAGTTTCATAGAGAACTCAGGAAATTAAAAGTCAAACACACAAACTAGATTTTAGTACAAAGTCTCCTTCCTCCCCAGATGGGGGGAACAGAGTAGAACATGACATATTTAAAAGATCGAGT